TAACTTGAAAACCTAGGAAAAAGTTTTCTTTCTCTCTCTCTCTTTTTCTCTCTCAATTTATTATTATTATTTTTCTAGTTTATATGAACAGATCGATACAAGAGAAAGAGGAGAAACATATATGAACATAAAAATTTGTTTTTTTTGGAAAAAGAATAGAATAAAATCCGTTTTCCATTCAAGATTTTATTACCCAGAAAATCAATATAAACATGATGTATATGGAAGCTAAGAGGATTGAATCATTAATAGGTATAAAAAATGAATCTAAAATCGATTGCTCAAGCATGCAGAGAACATTTAGAGGTTGACAAAAGAAAACGCTTCCAAGTTGCTATAGGTGCTCGCTATATATGTTTTCAATTTCTCAAATTTAAGGAAAGAATTATATTTCAACGCAATACGTAAAAATTTGATCGATCACCATTTTTATCAGCATTCTCGCAAGAATCTGCCGTTTTCTCATTCATCTCTTTTATCCTTTATATATGTCAGGATCTAAAGTTTCTAAGGCGAAGGCTCGAGAGAATTCTTTCATGCATTTAATAATCATTCGTTCTTTTATAAGAGGAGTATTGGCTGCATCGGAATAATTGATCTCTAGCCAGTGATCACTGATCAGTCTGATTATATATATATGTAAAGTAATTAATGAGTTTTTTAAAATTCTGAGAAACTGTGCTGATGTTTTGTAAGTAGAAGTAAAAAATATTACATATTACAAGGAGCGTTCAGTAAGTATAATACATAATACAACACATTCTTTTCTCATTCAAGGTTTGTTTTATTGCAGTTTTAAATATATCATAATTTTCCTCAATTCTTTGACCTATTTTTCCTGCACAAGAACATACAAGCTCTCACATCTAGGTGGCGTAAGGTCATAGAATGGAGACTATGTTGAAAAATAGATTTTTGTAGCCAAAGAATATAGTGAAAAATATAACGTTTAAAACTGTAACAAAACAAACCTTGAATTAAAAAATGTGTTGCATTACTTGTTGAACGCCTCACACACACGTGCGCGCGCGCACATATTGTTGCACATACATATATATTTTCTATGTTATTGTAGTATAGGTATATTCTTATAGTATACACAATAATATATAAAAGCAGTTTTATTAGATGTGATATTTTTCGAAATTGTGCGCTTAGTCCGTTGAGTAAGTCGAGACATTATTTCGTTCACATTCACATGTATGCGTGGCATTTCGCAGGAGCTAGATGAATATTTCAGACTAATATGCCGCGGGCTCGATCAAGTCGACAGACAGATATCGACAGTCGTACGCGAATCCGACAAAGGGTTGACGGTTCTATTCGGCGAAATTTTCGACTGACGAAAATAAATAACGAATGAATGCAGATGCGCGTACCTATCTGCGCTGCATTGACTCTTGCTTTTGCGATTTTAAAAATGCACGTCAAACATATGTACAGCGTATAAATATAAATTAAATCTCATTCCAATGATTAGTATTGTTGTTGTCTTTGCAAAACGTGCGGATATAGATGATGCAAATGCCCTATTGCATTATTATTTCGGTGGAATCACTTGCAGAGTTTGGGAGGCATCCGCGTTTGTATACGAAAGCCCGTCATCAAATAAATCTATTATTGCGCGTATCAATATTCGAATATGGAAATGGGCAAAGCGATGATTTTAAGCTAATGAAGAGAGAGAGAGAGAGAGAGAGAGAGAGAGAGAGAGGGAGAGAAAAAAGAGGGCGAAAGGGAGGATTAAACTTGATGGATCTAAGTGCTCAGATTGTATCGATACTCAATTTCTCATAAACTGTAATTGTCTTTAGTCTATTTTAATGTAAAAATAAGTGTACAAAATATTGTTTCATTAAACGATGATTAATCGAAATAAAAGTTGTATCGATTATATTTGTTATATAGTACCTACATTAGTTTCTATATTGGAAAATGAATATAATCCTCGACATATGTACTTTTCATATGTACTTTGTTTGTTAATGAAAAATAAATAAATGTCTGTTTTAGGTTTTAGTTTACATTTGTGAACTAAGAGCTTTCATTGAGAGGAACAAGTATCTCTTCATCTCTCCTCTCTCTCTCTCTCTCTCTCTCTCTCTCTCTCTCTTTGTTTTTCTGTTTTATATAATGGCGGATGTTGAAATAAAATATTCTATTCTAGTCTCAAAACTTTAATTTCGAGACACCTATAGTGAAATATCTTTTTAATAAACTAATAAACTATAAGATTTAACGGTAGTTTATCTTTTATCTTCGAGAAAATATATCTCAAAGTATTGTGCAAATCGATCTTTAATTACTCTAGCTCAATCGTTATAACATTGTGCAACACTGTACGTTTTCAGCTCTTTTTTCCAACCAGATGTTTCAACCAAATTTCAAGTATATATGAAAATGAATATTTTTTGTCCTGTGGATGGTTTTTCGTTTTATTTTGTTATTTATTTGCATATCGATTGATTTGTTTTATTTTATTTTATTACAGAATATTTATTAAAATCTTCGTGTACTCGTACATCGGTCATACGAGAGACATTTCTCACTTCTATCGACTTTTATCTGAAATTGGATATTTCAATATGCACATAAATAAAAGAATCTAATGTATTTTAATTAAAATGTCATTTATAGAAAAATGTCAGTCTTGAAAAAAATATCGATTTTTATTTTAAAAGGAAAAATAAAATATTATATAAAGGTAGTAAAATATATCGATCGATATATTTTATACGTAGCGAGCATTCTTGAAAAATTCTTTTCCACCAGGAGAAGTGGCAAAGGGGTATCTCGTAAAACTCACAATCAGTAGCAGCTGGTTCCTTCAATGTACCGCGCAGACATCCGATGCGAGACGTAATATGATATCACTATCACTTGTCGGAAAGTGAGTTTACCTATCTATATCTTTCTATCAAAATTTTATTGGATATTATATTTTGCATACTTGTCGAGATATGAAAGTGACATTTGAGCCTCGAGCTTGCCATTTGACGAAAAATTATATTGCGATTGAGTACACGGTGTACAATATATGCTATATAGGTACATAATTAATATATAATGACGCTACAGTTCCCGTCGAAAGACGGCAACTCTTTTACGTTTCTCTATTTCTCCAAAGCTTTCCTTTTACATTTTACGTTCCGTGGACTGCTCCGTTATCGATCATCCTGATATACGTGCAAAGGTGAGACGAGGAGAAAGCTATAGAGAGGAGCAGGTTGCAAATTTCCGATAAAGTCTTATGTTTTAATAGGATAAAAGAGATTTAAATAGAGAGAGAAATCTTTTTTATCTGCTGCTCCTCGATGTGGGATGACGGGGGTGACGATTCCGACAACCCCGTTGACGATCACACCGCGCCGCGCCGCGCCGCGCCGCGGCGACGATGCTCCGCGCGAAGGAGCGGTGGAACGTGGATCGAGGTGGAGAGACTGTGGAGAGGAGTCGCGAACGGTGGCGCATGCTCGTCCATATTCGTTCCTTGTCCTGTACTCGCTCCTGTGATAGCAGCTCAGTCTCAGTCGTCATCGTCGACCATCGTCGACTCTAGGCACCGGCCCTAGAAATCCATATCGGAGTGTGAGACCGCGCGCGAACGCAGCACTCTTTGTTAAAATTGGTACAAATTATATTTTGCACTGGTGCTTTACAAAAGATACATTACAAAAGAACGTGGATGGTGAACGTCGATTTTCTTCTACTAAGATTCTTACATATCTCGTTTTACACTGATTGTGAGAAAAAAAGTTGTTAACTTGACTAAATGCGTTCAACTGATTTTACTATTTTTTTAATTGAAATATTTAAGTATTTAAATTAAATACGACATATTAAATCTAACATGACCTAATTTGATTTAAATACTTAAATATTTCAATTTAAAAAATGGTAATCAGTTGAACATATTTAGTCAAGTTAACAACTTTTTTTTCTCATTTTGTATGTATGTCGCACCCCGAGAAGAACACTGTCACAACTCAAAAATATACAATTTTCAAGAGATAGGAAAAACAAAATTGAATTTCTTTTAATTGTGAAATAACTATAACGCACATACACGTACGACATTTTGTTATAATGAAACTTATACTGTTTTTTGAAGAGGTCTGGTGTGATTCACTTGTCAATTAATTCACTTATGACACACTATCACAGTACTATTTATTCAGGAAACCACACATGACCGGTTCGAAAAAAAAAAAAACTAACGACATTTCTGCCCCGCGCAGCGAATTTCGCATGTAGACTTGTGACAGCATGTAAGGCATACACTTTAGTGCTGGTCTACAACCTTGCTTTAAAGGATATTTAAGCTCTAAGCCGAAAGAACGTGACCAATCACAATAAAATGTGAAGAGACGACTCGACTGTACGTGGTCAATTTCTTACAGCTTAGAGCTTAAATACCCTTTAAAGCAAGGTTGTAGACTAGCACATAGGCATACTTTTTATGGGCTTAACTAAAAATCGAAATATTTTAACTTGTGACAGTATTCTTCTCGGACTGTGATATGTATACACATGTAGACTCGTTTTATATCCGTCTAATTTATTTCAATATCAACTTGTAACACGTGTATCTAAGAACTTGCATAAATATGTACCGGTTGATCTACGTGTGTCAGATATGGTATTGAAATAAATTAAACGAATATAGACAGAGTAGCCCGCGATAAACCGTATTTACGTATTTGCGTTGTGGCGAATTTTCTTTTGCGAATGTTGAGTCAGCTTTTTTTCTTAAGAACTTTCTTAAAAGCGGTGCTACAACTTTTGACTTTTAAGTTCTGATAAAAAATAAAGAGTTTAAAAATGTTTAAAAGTGCAAATTTAAGAGGGTAAGCGAACAACGATATTGTAGATTGGTAAAAATATATATTATAAAAATTGAAAATATATAATACGTGTGCCAACTGGTCTGGTGTGGACGCAGCTGCCGTAGAACGTAAAACCGATTTGTCGCGTGTCGTCATGCCAAAGCTGGTCGAGGATCGGTATACCTAGTGCGACTGCTCGTTCCGGTTCCGGAACCGGAACACGTGTCGCCGCGCCGCGCCGGCTGGTAGTAGTCGCGTGTGTCATCATTAACCGACAAACGCGACGACGATATGATATTACTCGGTATTATAGAAGAGAATTTGTTTTCAAAAAAGAGAATGGTTATACGTATAATGTAAAATGTATGTGTGTGATAAAATATAACTTGTGACACTTGTCTTCGTTGGAAATAGCCTCTGCGAGAAACCTCTATAATGACAAAAATACATAATATATGTGTATATACGTCTTATAAAATCATTTTATATATTGTAGTATTGTGACGCTATTACACACATTGCGTTTATACAAGTAGGTACATGCAATGATACAATTACGTTGGACAATTCAGACAGTTGTCGCTTTAATAATAAACGTCATATAATACACATAAAAAATTAACTCCTTAGCGATAATCGTCGCTGTACAATACGATAAAGATTAGATGATAAAGAATATATAAAGATATCGCAAGCGATTGTCTTGGCGGATGGTTAAGATTCGCACATATACTCTCTTTAGCTACAGTCTCTTTTTTCCTTCCCTCCCCTCTTCTCTCGGGCAATAAGGGAATTCGCCTCTGCGCGCATTAGCAATCGCTTTTAAATTAGCAATCCGGAACTCATTCCCAGAGTACCAAGTAACGCGTTTCTCGCAAAGATTACGGAAGCCGGGTACATCGTTTCGAAGATTAGGAAGGAGCGCGCCTCCTTATTATCGAAGATAAAACTGCGAGATCAACGATTCGTGGATAAGAAAATATAGTTTCTTTGAAATGCGAATTAAGTACAAATAATATTTACGTTTTATTACAATTAAAAATTTGACGAAAACACAAGAGTCGTTTTCTTTTAACTTCTTTAAAGCAGCAATTTTTATAACAGCAAGCGACGCTTATACTTACTTACAGCTAGGAGATGTAAACTGCGTGTTAACCTTAGCTAGCCACACTTATTTTCGAGTCCTTAATTCGCCACACTCCGGTCCGTGAAACCGCTTGATTTTGTCACTTTGTATTATTTTTATTCTAATTAATATTTTTAAACTTTATGTAACGTAGAAATAAATACAGAATCTGAATGAGATGTTTATGATAATATCAGGTCAAGAAAATAATTTGAGTTTAAATAGAACTTGATATAAAGAAAGTAGAAAATTATGTTATTATATGTATATGAAACCTAGAAAATCGAAAAATGTTCAGCGGTCGACACTGGACCGCGGAGTGTGACGAGCTAGGATTAAAGTGAAGAGAGAAAGAAATGAATAGGCTAGCAAAAAAACAAAAAACAAAAAAAAAATACAAAATTTTTAAAATATTTGAAACTCAAAATTTAATGATTTGAATTTCATTAACAATAACTATGTTTTATTGTTAACGTCTTTCTTTTTTCGTTTTTTCTTTTTTTTCTTTTCGACTTAATACATATATCTTTTAAAAATATTTTTCGAAAAAACGAAAAGAAAGTAGAAATATTCACGTAGGGAGATCAATACTCAATTTTATGTCGAAAAAACATTTACGGTGCAGTTTAAATGAATATATGCGCGTATAAATTTATAAATGATATGCTCATATTTTCTATGTGGCTCCGCATACAAAACGGAAAAAGGTGAAAGAACCAAAATAATGAAAGAGAGTAAAAGAATGAAATAGCGAACGAATGAAACTTGGACATTGATTCGATAAACGAAGGAATTCTCTCGAGAAATCCCGCTGAAAGAGAATCCAGCTTCCGTAAATTAAAACTTGAGCGCTTGCAAGCTTTTTACGATGACATTGATTTGCTGGTTCCGTCTGCAGTTAATTAATTAATAATCATACTAAAGACAACTTATTTCCGCGTTTACGTTACGCACCTCGTGCGTGTACGAGCGTGTGAAAATCATTGGTGCATCATAAACAGTACAACATCAGTTACAATGTCGTCTACATGAAAAACTAGATAAAGGAGTACTCGGTTGCCAAGTTGTGTTATTATAAATCATGATTATATATTATTGCGTGGTTATACATATTAACGTTTATGACGATTATGATTGATTATAGTGGATGATTCGTATAATATATAATATGAAAGAATATATTATATGCTAAAAAGAAGGAGTATAGAACGATACGCGTGTGAGAGTTTAATAACCAGAGTTCGGAATATTTGTCCTATGCCTCCAGGATTACTATCTTGAAGCACTGCGAAAGGGGTGCTTTCCCCGAATAATGGGAGAATGCGAGTTGTCGCAGCTTCCAACACGGTGACTTGCGTCTGTAGGAATGACTATTACGTTACCATTATTGACGGTCGATATTATTGATTTCGAGTATCCAAGAGCTTCGTCTAATAGTTCCGAAGTGGCATATTCGTGAACCAAGAGCCTCGTGATGGATGATCCGTTTGGATAGCAACCGTTTGACAGTCGATCCGAGCTCCGAGCACGCATCTCGTACTTCAAAGCGTACGCGACGTGAGAACGTGCGAAGGAGTCGAGTCGCGATATTCCGTCCGAATATATACGATTCAATAATCTTTAGGTGAATGAAATGAAATGAAAAGAGAAAATACGTGACTGCTTTTCGTCATAGTGTCGTTATTTCCAATTATTTTTTAAGTTATTTCAAATATTTCGGAAAATCTTTAGAAAATTTTCCTCAGGAATCTCATATCGTAATTTTCTCTTTCTCACAGAGTGTATTCCTTACGAAAGAACTTTATCCTTCACAGTATATGCGAAGAGGATAATTACATGTCAGAAAGAAGAAAACACCTTGACTCTCGGTTTATCTTTCAAAGATTAAACGTATGTCGGCGGATAAAGAAACTGGTGATTAATGGTGATTAATTTATCAATGGTATCTACTGGTAAATCAACATGGACAACTACAAAATTCACAGTTGACGATAAGTCAAGAGAACGCGACACTGAAACATTAATGAGATATAATCCTTCTAATTAAGAGTACCTCCCTAATTAAGCAGAACATATCTCAATTTAGAATTAGGCGCACACTTGATGTTTCGCTTAATGTGAAGACGTTTATCGTACCAACGAGTTTCCAGTGATTTTATCCAATGGAACGTTGTCCTTTCTCGACGCCATACTCTTAATCTCTTTTAAATTTACTGTACTTTTAGTAAGTAAGAATGTGAAGAGAAATCAAGACAAATTTAATTTTGACGAACGTAAAAGAATGAAAGATGTACGTGATATGTTATTTATATACTGACAAAGATTCAATATCTTGAATACTCATCTTTTTGTAGTTGATCAAGACAACGAAAACTTGTATTAGACTTGTAATCTTTTATTTGTAGTCTATTACGAGATAGAGAGATAGAGAGAGAGAGAGAGAGAGAGAGAGAGAGAGAG